GTACAATGCATGAATGAATGAATGGATGAACGACCTGGAGCAGCCGGGGGTGGTGTCGCCTAGAACGAGCGGCACGCGAACTGTCGCCGAACAGCACTTGGGTTCTCATTCGAAGCGAAACCTCCATTGAAGCTCTCGGCACAGTACTGTCCTTTCCGAGGGGCCCTGTTGGGGAAGGCGATTTCGGGAAAGCAGAGGATCGAGCGAAGCTGGCCCCGGTGATGCGGCACATCCTCACGCAGAAGCTGAACCACTGCCTGCGACAGGGCGACCTGCCGGGATTCCGACGTCACTTCAATCTCCAGACAGTTTACCTGCGAGGGCTTCAGATAGAGCCACTGACCGTCTTGCCCAGCTGCGAGGGTGATGTGGTGGGGGAGTTCCTGCACCAAAACGGTTTGAAGAGAGTCGGCAAGGGGGACAGCGCAGGATGGTGGCCCCTGCACTATGCAACATTGTCCGGCAACATACAGGTGCTTGGGTGAGGGAAGTATACGACTTTTGTGTGAAGCTCGGCTCCTGCTGTGGTCCGTGGTTTCCGCAGTAGAAAGAAATCCCTGTGTGATCTTAGCTGGCTTTGTGCGGGAACGCATAAACTTCCTTTGCCTGTTGATGCCCAAAGCTTCGTTTGCGTCCGAGCTTGGAAGGAAGGAGGGAAGGGAGGAAGGAATGTGCAAGGAAGGAAGGCAGCCAGGAAGGAAGTACGGACGGAAAGAAGGAAGGACGACAGCAAGGAAGGAGGGCAGGAAATCAGCAAGGCAGGAATGAAGGCATGAAGGTGGAATGAGTAAATGAATGATGGAAGGAAGCGTGGAAGCATAAAGAAAAGTAGTGAAGGAAAGGACTGCGAAGTGGAATCAGGAATGCTTTGCATCGCGACCTCCGTCCTCCCCACACAAACAAGAAGTAGCTGTGAGTTTCGCGGCTGAGGTGCTGAGAGGCCTGCTGGAGCAGCGCGCCGATGTGAACCGGCGTACATCCAAGGACGAGCCAATGCTGGGCTTTCCGCCTTGGATGTCGGCTTCTGGGGCTCTTAGTTAAGGAATATCTATATATATATATATATAGGGTACCATATATATATATATATACAAGACATATTGACCTTAGTAATGGAGATCTATAGTAGATAAGGTGGTTTCCTTACTACTTATGGTAACTACGAGAACAACCCAGGCTTTGGATCTGGCAGTCTTCTTCCACCACCACGAGGCCACTCGTTTGCTTCTCGCGGCAAGAGCTTCTCTCGAGGGCGGATTTTCAGCGGCTCTCCTGCATGCTGCCAATGCAGACAATGCAGAGGGTATTCGGCTTCTATGTGCGTCGGGTACCAGGCCACTCTCCCGGAGCCTTTTTGGCGTCTCCGCCTTACAGTGCGCAGCTGGCCTTTCGGCCGCAGAGGCGCTAGAGGAGCTGGTGGTGCAGGCCCTCCCAAATTCGTTGGAGCTTTCTCGGGCACTCTTCGATGCCACAGCATTCAAGGGTGGCTCAGCGCAGCTGGTGCAGCGATTGATAAGCCTACGTGCCGACGTCGACTTTCAGATGAGTAGCTCACGCGACTTCAGCGCACTGGGCCGGCTGCTCTTGGCGACGAAGTCCTTGCAGCACCGATTCGGCAGGGCGTCTGTTGTGAAGATGCTTGCCTTTCACTTGCATGGCAGCACGCCACTAATGCAGGCCATCCGGTCGGCTCAATTCGAGGCCGCGGCGGCTCTGATCGCGGCAGGGGCTAGGCTGGACCTCCGGAATTCCAGGAATTGGACCGCGGCAGACTTTGCTCGGAACCAGGCAATCCCGAGGTTTCTGCAGCTGGGCCTGGAGGGAGACCCGTCGGAGTGCCGAAGGGTGTCGTTGCTTGCACTTGCGAGTGGCTGCTTTTCGATTTGATTTTGACTGACGAGTAGCTACTGTCCCAGAAACTTCCAAGAAGTGCCAGTGTAGGGTCAGGTACTCAGGAAGGCACTGGCACTGGTGACGAGCTACGTGACGTTTTTGCCTTCCAAGAAGGCTTTACTCTGTCTGCTTTTTTTTTTGGTCTTCGTCCTGAAGGGACGCTCTTCCGCTTAGGTACAGTAATTTCACTAGTGCGTTCACAGTTGCACAAAAAACAGCGGGTGGACTCTGGCTTTTGTGGCTGACTTCGAACCTTGCGGAAATAGCACAATCTTCAGATATTTTAATGAATGGCAAGGATCGGGATCGAGAGGGCATAGCGTTTCAGAAGTACGAGCGTGCTTGCCTACACGCGATTACTACCACTGCTACTACCACGTCAATTACCACTCTACCACGGCGAACACAACTACCACCACTACTATCAATACCACCACTACCATCGCTTCCACCGCCACCACCCACCAACGCCAGCAGCACCCCCACCATTGCCAGGGATGGCCACTACCCAGCACTACCCCTGCTGCTACCACGAAGTATCACGGCGACGATTACAAGCACTAGCACTAGCACTAGGAGTACACTACCACTACCACTCCTCTACCACTGCTACGACGACGGCTACTGCTCCTGCGGCTGCTACTGCTACTGCTACTGCTACTGGCTATACTGGCTACCCACTGGCGGCTGCTGCCGCTGCTGCTGGTGCTGCTGCCAGTGCCACTCCAACTATTACGACGACTGCTCCTACCACTGGCTTCGGCCACTTCTTCGTATATAAATAATTAAGAATGAATGAATCATAAAACTGAACATATCAACACGAAACACAGTTGTGGTACCTAAGTGTGAACAAGACGGGGAGTGTAGATGATTCCCTTTTGGTCGTGGTCTCTGCCATCGCTGACGTAACAGGCTGAGTGGGACCGGCAGAAGCGCATCGACAAAGGCAAGAAGTGGGGGCCCAAGCCGAGCTGCTAAAACGGGACGGGCAAAAGAGTAGAGTAGGAAACCCTAAGCCCTAAACCCTAAACCCCAACCAGCGGTAGTCATGACGATAAACGCTGCTAAAACGGGACGGGCAAAAGAGTAGAGTAGGAAACCCTAAGCCCTAAACCCTAAACCCCAACCAGCGGTAGTCATGACGATAAACGCGACACTGGACGCTTCTGGGCCAGGATGGTGCAGAGGTGACGCTGGTAGCGAAGAGATGTGAAGAGCAAAAAGATGGTCATGAACCAATATACTTGTACTATACTATACTATACGAATTCTACCATACTATACTATACTATACTATACTATACTATACTATACTATACTATACTATACTATACTATACTATATTATGCTTTACTATACTATACCGGCAATATGTAATACGGAACTATGCCATAGCATTGTGCACTCTGATAGGCATGTTGGTGCTGTCGTGAACCATGAAACTGTGATGGTCAGCGCGCTGTGCTCTGCAGGGGAGGGCGACGAGGCAGCGGATGATGGCAAATATGATGCCGGTGGTAAGCATGATAAGCACGATGCATGCAGCAAGGACTGCTATTTATGGCTGTGGTCGTCTGGGAAAAGACTGTCCTAGTCACCAGCGTTACCAGGCACATGAAGCATGCAACGCGAAACAGAGTTGGAGCCCGAAGTGTTGTTGCCATGTCTTCCCCCATTGCTCGTCCTTGTTCTTGTTGTCAGCATCGTGGCGGTTGCGAAATGACGCGTGAAACTGAGTGACATGCACACAGCATCGTCTTCAGAACAGAGCCTTTCGTTGTTTCATTTATCCCCCACTCCCGCCCCCTTGATCGCAACTGGCGATTGTAGAGTCCACGGTGCAGGACGCAGGTTCAAGTTTAGGGTCCGGGTTTTAAAGGTTTTAGGCTCACGGTTGGGATCAGGTCGTAAAACAGCGACTAATTCACTTGCAGCAACTTGGGAGTTTCCGAAAATTAGGGGTACCTTATTTTGGGGTCCTTATATTAAGGATCCTATTATTTAGGGTACTATACCCATACCCCTAAACCCTAAACCCTAAACCCTATATTAGGGTCCCCTTTTTTCAGAAACCCCCACTTACTTCGTGCAGAAGATGCGCCGGCATTAGGCAGGGAAGTTCCGAAAAGTGGCCAAACACCGAAACGGTTTAGGGTTTAGGGTTTAGGGTCCACGAACCCCAGAGTTGCCCGGGAGCCTAAACCCTCAACCTTAACAAAAGCCCAGAGCCCTCTCTCATCTTTGTCATCATTGCCTGACCCTGATCCAGAAAGGCAGTACGCAGTCCCCGCCAGCAGTGTCGAAGAGTTCCACGAAGAAGAGGCAAGAGCATTTGGGATTTGACTGGGTTAAAGCTCATTAAGCTTAGGAAGTGGAGGTCCATCCTACAGGGTTCAGGGGTTTAGGGTTTAGGGTTTAGGGTTCAGGGTTGAGGCCGTAGTGCAGAGATCTGAATAATGAGTCATGTCATAGTCCTCTAGTACGGATTCGTGGGAACGGGTTTAGGATACCTTCACCATCCACAAATATATGCAGTGTAATAGTCCCTTCACGTCGTACTCCACTTGCTTAGCACCGTTGCGTGTACCTGCATGAAATCCTGGACTTGATTGGGATGCACCGGTGATGCACGGCCTGCAGCCGTCTGGAGGCTTGCATCGAAGGGTGTAAGTGCAGGGTCTTCCTACAACCCTAAACCCTAAACCCCAAACCCCCGGAAACTGTTGAGCGCAGGGTTCAGGGCTTAGGGTGATCATGCTGGGATGCTGTTGCATTGCATCCAGCGACCTTCAAGTCGACACGAGGAGCCTCCTGAGAAGGCACCGGAACCCTACTTTCCTACAGCCCTACATCCCAAGCCCGAAATCCTCAACCCCTGAAGCCCTAAACACCAAAC